CCCCCCCCCCCCCCCCACCTCTCTGCCTGCCTCTCAGCCTAGTTGTGATCTCTGTCTGTCAAAAAAAAAAAAAAAAAGGGAAGAAGTATAACAAACATGCAGAGAGTCTGTGAATAAATTTTAAAAGTGGGCACATCTATGCACAAATCATCAAAGTGTTCACAAAGGGTACATGCCTATGCAATTGCTACCTAGGATTTTTATTTTTTATTTTGTTTTTATGTATTTTTTACTTTTTAATTGTTTTCCTACCCAGGTTTTTTAAAAAGAAAATTACCAGGAACCCAGAAGCCTCTTTCATGCTTCTCCTGGTCACTACAACCCCTCATCCTCCAAGAAAAACCCTATTATAAATTCTTTTAACATCTGACAGGGTTCCGAATACGGCTGCCTTAAAATATGACATCTTATGACATTGAATATGCTAAGTTGAAGGAATTTGAGAAATGGCAGGTTCAGCAAGTACTCTCTGCCTTCCCCTGAAGCAGACCGTAAGATGGGCATATGATGGATGTCCTTTCTATACCCAAAGGAAAGAAGCATCCTTGTCTCTAAAGATGGAGGGACACAGAGAGGAATCCAAATGAATGGGATTGCTAAATTTGCCTCAGTTCACTACTCTTAAACTCCTATCCTATTGCCCTAACACATTTTCCCACTACTTTCTACTCTTCATCAAACCTAGCATAAAAACGTCTAGGTTAACAACTTTGTGCTTTCATTTCCCTTTAAAGGGTCCCGTGCCAAATAGAACTTAAATACATTAGCATGTTTTCCCTTGTTTATCTGCCTTTTGTTACAAAACCCCAACCTAGAACCTAGAAGGGTAGAAGGAAATATTTTTTTCACCCTCTCTTACGCATCATAGAATAGTTCTGGCCGTTTTTTGAACTTTGCATAAATAGCCTTAAATTCCCACTTTGGGATTGATGCAGGAGTAAAAACCTGACCAATGCAAGAGAACCGGGCCACCTAATGTATGATGGCAACGAGTGCGGTGGGGTAAGGGACCTTCTTTTCAGTAAAGCTCGATCCATTCTCATACTATCCATAAAAATCAAAATCATTCTAGAATGAATGCAGAAATAAATGTGAGAGGTAAAACAAAAAATATAGAGAAAAATTTGACTTCATATCTTGGAATAGGAAGATATATCTTAAGTAGGAGGCAAAGGAAAGAAATATTTGATAAACCAGAATGCATTAAAATTAGAAACTGCTCCAAAAAACCCCAACCAAACAAACAAATTACTCACCAAAAGATATCATTGGGGGCCCTGGGTGGCTCAGTCTGTTCAGCGTCTGACGCTTGGTCTCAGCTCAGGTGTTGATCTCAGGGTTGCAAGTTCAAGCCCTGCATAGGGTTCCACATGGAGCTGACTTAGAAAAAAAGAAGACATCATTGATGGTGAAAAAGCAGCCTTCTCTTAATAGACATAGGGTACCACACTACTCTTTATGATTTTCCTAAAGCCCACCCATACCTTTGTAAATATTGCCTTATTAAGCTCTACTTAAGTTATTCTTGAGTCATCTGAATCCTACGGGGCCTTGATAAATGTAGTAAGGGGTACCATGATTGGCCTCAAGAAAGAGGCTCTCTTATAGGGGTCTGAGGTTGGGTTGGTTACATGCTTGAGGAGCTCATGGATGAACTCTTTGTGACGAGGGAAATGGGGCATGGATAACACGGCTGGTAGTGGTATCGCGACTCCTCAAATTATCATGCATGGTAGCTAATGAAGACCAAGAGAAAGCACTGGGGGGTGAAGTGGTGTGGCACCCACTTCACTGCTAAAACAATAGTGACTAGGAAATTTGTAGAGTCTCCTGCTTTTTAAGACATCCCTAGAGAGAGACACACGGGTGAAAGGAGAAACAAAAAGCTGTAAATACACAGTTGAGACCATGCATAGAAAGTTAGAAACCTTGGGGGAAAAAATTGGGAATTTGGAGGGTGTGTGTCTGGCTTTGTCATGGGTAAACAAGGGGGTCACCAGTGAGTCTTATCCAAGTCATAGGGGGAAGGGAGCTCTCTGTGGTAAGTAGTTTCTGGAACACAAAAGGGTGGGAGGTGGGGGGATTAACCGTCTTGGTTTTCCAGCAGCACAGATGAAGTTGAATATTGTCATTCTCCTTTACATGTTGGTATTCGAACAAGAGACATAAATGACTGGTTTTCTCTCAGATGCCTTACCTGTTTTCAATAATAATAATAATAATAATAATAATTAATAATAATATTCATATTATATAATAATATATAATCATATAATAATATTATAGATAATAATAAAATAATATAATCAATTATATAATGATTATTATATAATAATACTTTATTATATAATGTATTATATAATTATATAATTATTAATTATATTATTCAATTAGTTATTTAATAATTAATAATCAAGTATATTATCATATTATATAATAATGCTATGTTATTATATAATAATATAATATTATTTAAATATTAATTATTATTATTATTATTATTTTGAGTGGGGATTCTCAATGAGAAGTGATTGGATGTCACAGCTGAGTTTGGGCGGGGTGCTCCTGGCACCTGGTGGCAGAAGCAAGGACGCCGGTAAACATCCCCCAATGCGCAGACCACTCCCATTACAGGTACATTGGGCTCCAAACGTGGTTAGTGCCCAGGTGGGGGTACAGGGGGCGTGAACACAAAAAATCACTGCTTGTCTCTTCTTTGAGAACCAGAGCTCTACATGCTGGGCGGCCATGTCTGAAAACCTATCCTTCTTCAGAGATGCAGGAAACACAGGATCTGAGGATTTTGAGGTGCACCTTGATTTTCCCTTGGAGTTACTGATCATTATTGATATGTTTTTTAACTTGCATTTGAAACAGTATTTCAGACTTCTAGGATTTTTATATGGAGTTTGTCGAATTTTAGTTATAAAAATTCAGAAGCAAGGGCCTCTGAGTTTTAGCTGAGAGACGGAAAAGGGCAAGAAGCCAATCTTTTTCTGTAATGGGCCATATGGTAAATATTTTAGGCTATGTGAGTCTAAAGAAAATTTCACTTCCCCCTCTGCATCTCCTTTAACCTCACACAACCCTTAGAACTTCTGATACCTCTAGCCTCCAAATGTGCATGTGTTTGTTCCCTCACACTGAATGACACATGTTCTTTCTGGCTACCAGCTGGGTGTTTTGTCATTCAACTTAGTTCTGATACTATCTACCTGGATACAGTGTCACATCCCACGAGTTAAAGGTTCAGTCCCACAAGACCACCGCTGCCCCATTTGAGAAACCAGTTGCAAGTCCAGATTGTCTCCTATGCTACTGACTTGACTGGCTGTAAATCAGAGGGGTTCCCTTGGCCCTCTCCTCAAGTTTGATGAATTTCCTAGAGCAGCTCACAGAATTCAGGAAAACAGGTTACTTACTAGATTACTGCCCTTTTTTTTTTCTTTACAAAGGATGAGAATGAATAGCCATGTAAAGAGATATGTAGAGCCATGTCCAGAAGGGTCCCGAGCTGCTGTCCCCAGGCAGCCTGGGGTGCTCTACCCTCCTAGAACATGGGTGTGTTCTTGTTCACCAACCCAGAAGCTCTCTGAATCCTGTCTTTTTAGTTTTTTGGTGTTTTTTTTTTTTTTTTGTAGGTTTCATTACATAGGTTGGATTGATTGAATCCTTGGTCATTGGTAGATTGGTTCAACCTCCAACACCTGGAGGATGGAGGGTGGAGCTCAAAGTCCCAATATTCTAACCACTTCTTGGTCTTTCTGGCAACCAGCCCTGAGGCTATCTAGGAGTCCCAGAGCAGCGACTTGTCTCATTAGCATGCCAAGGACACTCTTATCAATCAGGGGAGTCCCAGGAGTTCTGTGCCGGGAACTGTGGACAGACACCAAATAGTTTTCCATAGAGACAAAAGCCCCCTTCCATCTGTACAAATTTCCTTCCCATGCCACTCTCAGAGAGCACACAGAACACACCCCAGAAAGTAAGTTCTGCTTAAAAACACTGTTTCCTCCATAGAGCCTGCTTAGTACGGAAATTTAGCTTCGGGGCGCCTGGGTGGCTCAGTTGGTTGAGTGACTGCCTTCAGCTCAGGTCATGATCCTGGAGTCCTGGGATGAGTCCTGCATTGGGCTCCCTGCTCAGCAGGCAGCCTGCTTCTCCCTCTGACCCTCTCCCCTCCCACGCTCTCTCGCTCACTCTCTTGCTCTCTGAAGTAAATAAATAAAATCTTTAAAAAAAATTAAAAAAAAGAAATGTAGCTTCAAACATGATAGCATTGATTTAATAATCAAGTGTGTAATATTACTGTGCCCATTTTATAGATGTTGATGTGAACTCAGAGAGTTAAGTTAGTTAATAAATGACAGGTACTAAAACATGGGACTGTAGGACTTAATACAAAATCTGACCTGAAAGTCATGATTAACCAGTTTGTTAGAATTCAATTAGGGAGGAGTCAGAATTTCAAGCATACCCAGTATTTCATTCCCTTTCAGTCCTTCCAGAAACCTATACCCAAGCCAGATGACAATCATGAAAAGGAAGATGTCCCAGAGATGAGTTTCCTCAAGGCTCCCTTCATGTCCCTGTTCCTCAGGCTGTAGAAGAAGGGGTTCATCATGGGCGTAATCACCGTGTACATCACTGAGGCCACTGCTCTCCTCCTGGAGGAGATGGGAGCTGCAGAACTAAGGTAGACTCCAAAACAAGTCCCATAGAATAAGAAAACAACAGACAGGTGAGACCCACAGGTGGAAAAAGCCTTGAACTTCCCACCAGTTGATGGGATTCTCAGATGGAGGAGACAATTCGAGTGTAAGAGAAAATTATCCCTGAGAGGGGACAAACCCCCAACAGGCTGGTCATGAAATACACCAGAATGTTATTGGTAAGAGTGTCAGAACAGGCAAGCTTGAGGATCTGAGCAAGCTCGCAGAAGAAGTGGGGGATTCGCAAGTCTGTGCGGAAGGACAGTGGCAAGACCATCAGACTGTGGAGCAAGGCATTCCCAATGCTCATGAGCAAGGAGAGAGGAATCAGCAGGCCACAGAGGTGGGGGTTCATGATGACCGCGTAATACAGAGGACGGCAGATGGCCACATAGCGGTTATAAGCCCTCACAGTTAGCAGTAAATTGTCCATACATAGAAAAACCATGAAAAAATACAGCTGAGCGAGGCAGCCTGCGTAGGTGATGGCTTTGCTCTCGGTCTGGATGTTCAGCATCATCTTGGGGACTATAGTGGAGGTGAAACAGATGTCGACAGAGGACAGGTTGGAGAGGAAGAAGTACATGGGTGTGTGGAGGTGCAGGTCAGAGCTGACGGCCAGGATGATGAGCAGGTTCCCAAACACAGTGATCAGGTACATGGAGAGGAACAGCCCAAAGAGAAGGGGCTGCAGTTCTGGATCCTCGGAAAGTCCGGTGAGGAAGAATTTTGATACTTCTGTCTGGTTTTCTGATTCCATGTGGTTGATGTGTCTGCTGAGTTAGAGACACGAGTTAGTGACCGTGAAACAGACACACAGGCATCCCTTGTTGGAGAGAAGTCTTTTCTCTATTGCTTTAAAATATTGTAATATTTAGGGGCACCGGGGTGGCTCATTGGGTTAAAGCCTCTGCCTTCGGCTCGGGTCATGATCCCAGGGTTCTGGGATCGAGCCCCACATCGAGCCCCGCATTGGGCTCTCTGCTCAGCAGGGAGCCTGCTTCCCTCTCTCTCTCTGCCTGCCTCTCTGCCTACTTGTGATCTCTCTTTCTCTGTGTGTCAGATAAATAATAAAATATTAAAAAAAAATCTTGTAATATTTAAACAATTCTTCTCATCAGGTTCCTTTATCCTTTCTTCCCTCACCAAGGAAATTTTGAGTGACTTCTATGTATCACCCATTTTTCTAATTCTAAAATTAAGAATGAGAATAAGTGCTGTTTTATTATTTTTTTAAGGAACTATCATGCCTGCATGCCAGTTTAAGATCTAGTGTTAAATTCTAATGGTTTCTTCAAACTATTAAACCTTGCTAGACAACTTCACTTTCTCAGAAAATCTTAACTGTGTAGTTAACTCGGAACTGGGTCTGCTCACAATTGCAAATCTCAGGTAATCCTGGAAATCAAAAATCTGACATTCTCTACTGCCTCCATGTGAGGCACTATTAACACTATTAACCCAATCCTTTAAGTATCCTGAATTTTATAATTACAGCAGATCCTTCTGTCAGGACCTGTCTGTTTCAAAGGAATTGCTTTCGCAGGACTCGTGATTTGTCATCACAAGCCTACAGTGAGAATAAAAGACATTTTAAGAAAAGGCAGAATAAGTCTGTCTCTGTGTCTATTGAGGAAATGTCACATTGAGAGGGAAAATTCTTGTCTGTTCCTTAAAACAAGAATAGCTAATGCTTTTTATGAGCAACTGATTATTTTCTCTAATAATCATATTTCTTTTTCTTTTACCTTCTCTCCCTCCCTCTCTTCCTTCCTTTTTTCTTCCCTCCCTCCTTCCTTCTTTTCTTTTCTTTTCTTTTCTTTTCTTTTCTTTTCTTTTCTTTTCTTTCCTTCATCTTCTTTCTGCTAGTAAGCTTAGAGCCAGATACATGGGTCATGTCTAGAATCTGAGGAAGAGTGATTTTATTTTATTTTTAAAAATTTAAAAAGATTTTATTTATTTTTTTGACCAAGAGAGACAGCAAGAGAGGGAACACAGCAGGGAGAGTGGGAGAGGGAGAAGCAGGCTTCCTGCTGAGCAGAGAGCCCAATGTGGGGCTCGATCCCAGGACCCTGAGATCATGACCTGAGCTGAAGACAGAGGCTTAATCCACTGAGCCACCCAGATGCCCCTAGTATATTCTTTTTTTTTTTTTAAGATTTTATTTACTTATGTGGCAAACAGAGATCACAAGTAGGCAGAGAGGCAAGGTGGCGGGGTTGCGGGGGAAGCAGGTTCCCTGCTGAGCAGAGAGCCCAATGCGGGGCTCGATCCCAGGACCCCAGGATCATGACCAGAGCCAAAAGCAGAGGCTTTAAGCCACTGAGCCACCCAGGCACCCCTATATTCTTTTTTAAAAAAAGATCTTAGTTTGAAGTAATCTCTACTCCAGCAGGGCTCAAACCCACAAACCCATGATCAAGGGTTCCAAGCACCAACAGGTGCCCCTATGGCATATTTCTTTTGACTGATTTTTTTCTGAGTAGCCATTCTCTAGGATATGTCCAAATAGCAATGGTTTTGTAATTATTCCACACCTTCCGAGTACTCTTGAGTGCATTTGATTTTGTGCATCTTTACAGAGCAATCTTCCCACTGGGGCCAGCAGAGGTCTAGCACAAGCTTGCAGGATTCTTCAGTGACATTCTGAAATCCATGAAACCACCAAGTCCTCAATGGCATTCAAGTCCCTTCATTATGTGGCCCCGTAATAATTACAGATGGGATGATGTACTCCCAGCAGCCGCCACCTCGTAAAAGCAACAATCCACCTCACCGCTGAGTCAAGAAATCTTCAAGAGTGAGTAATTCTAGGAGCTGGTATGCTGGTTTGTCATTACTGACAAACCTGTATCGTTTCCTGCTTTAATCAGAACCAAACTATCTTAGGAAGGATCCATATTCATAACAGAAGTACAGGGAGGATGGAATGTGTGGAGTCTTGAGAGACCAGAGTGGGTAAGTGAGCATTTTTCCTTCTGCCCTCAGACTGGCCTAAGTGGGGGAGCGAACTGTTGAACCAGCCAGGGCTAACATCCAGCCACTTGACAGAATCACGGTCTGCAGAATGGTTTATGAAGCAAGGGTGGGAGGACAGTCGTCTGTTCATAAAGAGAGAAGCTGACCAAAGTTAAAAGGACATTTATGTCCTTCAAATGAATAAGAGGCTCTATGCATTAAACAAGAAAAGGTCTCAGTGCTAGGGACATAGTGAATCCTCCAGAAACATTGGCTATAATTATTGCTATTGTTGTTATTTTTATGAATAACAGTATAGTGGTTATACTAATCTTTACACTTGATCTTAGCCAAAAGGCCAAGAAGTAATGTAGTAGTCTTTATGGAGGAGAAAACGTTGAACTTAGTTTAGGATGTTCTCTTTCCCCTTGATTTCCTGACACACAGACTGTTACCTTTTTCAACAGTGACTATTGCAGAAACATGAACGGAGGTTCTACATTTGGGAAACTTAAAGATGTGCAAAAGAATCTTTATAATTCTTCTGTGTTAAAATGTTGAAGGGTTTCATAAAAAATATTTAAAAAATAGAATTGCCATATGATTTAGCAATTCCTAATCTGAGTATATACTTGAAAGCATTGAGATTAGGGTCTTGAAGACATATTTGTTCATCCATGCTCCTAGGAGCATTATTCACAATGGCCAAAATGTGGGAGCAACCCAAGTGTCCACTGATGAATGGATAAACAAAATGTAGCATATCCATACAATGGAATATTAAATATTATTCAGGGTTGGAAAGGAATGACATTCCAACACCTGCTACAACATGGATGAACTTTGAAGACATTATGTTAAGTGAAATAAGCCAGTCTCAGAAAGATAAATACTGGGGGCGCCTGGGTGGCTCAGTTGGTTAGGCAGCTGCCTTTGGCTCGGGTCATGATCCCGGGGTTCTGGGATCGAGTCCCACATGGGGTTCCCTGCTCAGCAGGGAGCCTGCTTCTCCCTCTCTCTCTGCCTGTCTCTGCCTACTTGTGATCTCTCTCTCTCTGTAGCTCTCTGTCAAATAAATAAATAAAAATCTTTAAAAGAAAAAGATAAATACTGTATGATTCCACTTCTGTGAGGTCCCCAGAGGAGTCACATTTAGAGAGACAGAAAGTAAGATGATGGGTGATGGAGCTGGCAGAGGGGGATGGAGAGTTAGTGTTTACAGGGGATTAAAACGGTACCTTTTATGTCATGTATATTTTACTATGGTTAGAAAAATAAGTTAATTAATACAAAATGTTGGAGAAACTTTATCTGATTTAGTTCATTATGCTCCTGTCCTTCATGGTGCTTTGAGAAATCAGTTGCCCCTCATTTCTCACACTTCACGGATGTTCTTAGGGAACATAATGCCAGGGGCAGATGGATGAAATACGCAAAGGGGAGGAGTGCCTGGGTGGCACAGTCGGCTAAGCATCCGGCTCTTGGTTTTGGCTCAGGTTATGATCTCGGGATCCTGGGATTGAGCCTGAGTCAGACTCTGCACTCAGCAGGGACTCTGCTTGAGATTCTCGCTCTCCCTCGGTTCCTCCCCACAATCCCAGGCACTCTCTCTCTAAATAAATAAAATACTAAAAAAAAAAAAAAGAAATAGGCAAAGGAGATGAAGTACAAACTTCCATTTATAAGAGAAATAAGTCATGAGGATGAGGAGTACAGCATAGGGAATATAGTCAATAATATTGTAATAACTTTGCACGGTGGGAGATGGTGACTACACTTACATGGTGAGCATTTTTTAACATATATAATTGTCAAATCGCTACATCATACACCTTAAACCAATGTAATATTGTAGGTTGACTATACTTCAATGAAAAAAAACCCACACAGATCTCTCTTCCCTACCCAAGAATTTCCAGCTGACTAGGTGTGGGGTGGGGCCCTAGGATTCTCATTTCTAACAAGTTCCCAGGTGATGCTGATACAGCTGGGTGGAGGGCCGGGAACCACACTTTGAAAACCGTTGTTGTGGGAGTTTCTAAAGCATGGTATAGAATGAGCCCATCTGGATTCAATCCAATCAAAGCCAATTTAGGAAATCCGTGAACATGCTTAAGCTTTTGTTAGTGTGTTTCATTCTTTCTTTTTTTAATATTTTATTTATTTGACAGAGAGACACAGTGAGAGAGGGAACACAAGCAGTGGGAGAGGGAGAAGCAGGCTTCCCGATGAGCGGGGAGCCCAATGTGGGGCTCCATCCCAGGACTCTGGGATCATGACCTGAGCTGAAGGCACTTAACTGAGCCACCCAGGCACCCCTCTTTTCTTTTCTTTTCTTTTCTTTTCTTTTCTTTTCTTTTCTTTTCTTTTCTTTTCTTTTCTTTTCTTTTCTTTTCTTTTCTTCCTTTCCTTTCCTTTTTTCTTCTTTCTTTCTTTCTTTCAAGATTTTATTTATTGGGGTGCTTGGGTGGCTCAGTGGGTTAAGCCCTTGCCTTCGGCTCAGGTCATGATCTCAGGGTCCTGGGATTGAGCCCTGTATCAGGCTCTCTGTTCAACAGGGAGCCTGCTTCTCCCTCTCTCTCTGCCTGCCTCTCTGTGATCTCTCTCTCTCTTTGTGTCAAATAAATAAAATCCTTAAAAAAAAAGCATTTTAGGGGTGCCTGGGTGGTTCAGTGGGTTAAGCCTCTGCCTTCAGCTCAGGTCATGATCTCAGGGTCCTGGGATTGAGCCCCACTTCGGGTTCTCTGCTCAGTGGGGAACCTGCTTCCCCCCTTTTTCTTTCTGCCTGCCTCTCTGCCTACT